CTTCATATGAAAAATCAAATTGGGAATTATATCAATGTTTCACTGATTTCGAAAATATATACTTTAATAAACCTGTAAAATTTTAATTCATCTTTATAATACACAAGACCACCAATTCCGGTAATTCGGCTTCGATTAAACAAATTGCTTTGTGATTACATGTCAAAAACCAGTACGACTTCTTTTTTTTTTTTTTTGCTTAACGTTAAATTTAATGTCATTAAGGTTTTGTACAAAAAAAAAAAAAAGAAAAATAACCGGTTTTTGCATTGAGATGCTACATAAAATTCAATTGGTTAAAATGCACCGATTCATCGGGCATTTTTTCCAATCCGATGCAATTGTTTGAGATAAATAAAATCAGGAACTGCGGCAGAACTAAATCGTTAGTTAAATACAAAAAAAAACCGGTTTGTAGTAAAATTCAGCATTATTCTTTTATTTATGTGTAGATACTTGAATCTTATGGCTTAGAAGTATGAAAAGCTTAGAGAAAACGAAACTTCTTCCAAAACCATAGAATAAGCGAAATAAAAATACTGTATTTACTATATATATAGTGATAAATTAAGAAAAGCCTTAATTAGTCGAAACTATTTTATGAAATACTAAGTCTTTACAGAAATTTATCCAAAAACTGCTTTGACTGTTCCCTAAATCCCTAATGAGGCTTTAAACGACCCCATATTTGGACGGTCCCTCCTGCAGGAACAATAAATTTTTTGTGATCACAAATATCACATAAAATCACATAATTTTGCGATATCACAAAATTCACTAAAATGTTCGCAAAAATTTAAGTAATTTCGCCGCATAATTTCGCAAATATTGACTACTCAACATGAAATACGAGGAGTCACCGGAGATTTTCGGAAAGACTCAAATCGCTCAAATAACTCATGGTCCGCAAAGAATCAAAAAAACGTCCACACATCACAACATTTACCTTATGATTATACATAGTCCCCTGTCCTCCTGTAGGAAAAATTGTGTAAATTTCCGAGATTTTCCGAAGTGAAGAAATTTTTTAACATACTTAAAAAATTTGGCGTACGAAAAGATTTTCAACACACTAAATTATTTACGATTTCGACTGTTAAAACAAAATCATTTTTGCCATTTAAATTTACGCCAAGGGCAAAATGTTTTCGACATCCATGTATACACCTACATATAATCCGTATATTCATTCTCAAAATATTTCAACCCAAGATCAGCAATCTTCGACGTCGGCAAATGTTTTGCAAATGACACCGGCTATCGTTGAGGGATGCTGTACAGAACAATCTTTGACACCAGTAAATATTTTACAAATGACACCGGCTATTACTGGAGAGTACGGTACAGTAAGACAATCTTCGACGTCAGCAAATGTTTTGCAAATGACACCAGCTATTGCTGGGGAGTGCTGTATAGAATGTTGTCCAGTTGCAGCAGCAGAAGCGGCACAAGCTGCAATAACTATGCGAGACTCAGGGCCTAATCGAGACTCAGAGTCTAATAATACAGATCATACTGCTAATGAACCCAGACATTCCTCATTTCTATGGACAGCGCAGGATCTTCAACATGGATGTAAATGGCAAGGATGTTATCTACGATTTGAAACCCATGAAGAATTAACTGGACATGTTAGTGAAGGACATATTGGATGCGGTAGAAGTCAGTATGTTTGTTATTGGGAGAGATGTGATCGGAATGGGCGTCCATTTTCGCAACGTCA